CCGAACAGAACATATAACTACAAGTTCGGCTATATCTAATTAGGGCATAATCTCGCAACGTACTAGCAATATATCTAGCTTGATCAATCAAGTAGTACAATATACTAAGACTTTCCATCCTTAGTTATTAGGGCCTGATTAGCAATTAAACTAGCGGTCACAATTTGATTGGACCAACTGGTTGGACCGCCAGTCCGATTTAAATGACTAAGGATTTCATGCCAAAAAAAAAACACATTACATGGTTTAGTGGTAATGAATGGCTCTCCATCCTATAGATCTATTTGACTCCTGTGCGCCAACAGTTATGCTCTGTTCCCTTTACGTACGAGCTCCAATGATAATTTGGAGTGGTTCGTGGTATCAATTTCCTAAAACTGGGGTTTCAACCAATTTTTACCGATTCGATTGCATACCTAGTTCTAGTTTTGTTTTGTTTTTCTAACTAGCAAAATTACCCAGGCCTTACAATGGGAAGTACGTCTTGCATGGTCATAGATAATTTATTGCTTAAAGATTTTACTATTACATTATGCATTTCAATTAGTCATGTAATTTTACTCTATATCATAGTTGGACACGTGGTAATCGTGTTTTTTATTTTATATATAGCGACCTTGTCACAATGGCATGCCTACATAGCTAGTGATATTAGCTTGAATCAAATAAAAAAATTCTTGTAGACGTTTTTAAAACTAATGATAATGACTGTTGCTTATAATTAAATAAATTGCCACATTTTTCATTTAAATAAATAATTGCCGGTTTACGAAAGTAGGGCAGTGAATAGTTTAGCACAAATATATAGTTTCTTTTTGCTTCGGCTGATGAAGCAGATTCACTTATAAAGCTGAAATTATTTTAGATAAGCGTTTGATAAAATAGTTTCTCCTGGTTTTTGAAAACGATAAAATTAGGACTGGGGCGACCGGGGATTCTCTGGGGGTGGTCGCGCAGCGAAGGCTAGCCGGCCATGGCACGGGCAGCGGCGGAGAAGCAGCACGCGGCGAGGGAAGGGTCGGATCGGCGACGGGAAAGAGCGTAGGTGGACAGGGTGAAGATAGGCGAGCGACGGTGCTGTAGCGGGATGGTGGGAGTGGGCCGAACAGTTGGGCTGAAGAATGGGCCAGACAAAAAATGGCCCAACCAAAAAAGAGATAGAAATTTTGCCTTTTTATTATTAGGGATAGATTAGACTGCTGGCTCGGTCAGATCCTAATAACTATCCCCTAGTCTGGTGTGCCCCTTTAACCCTTCGTGCTAGTGATTGAGCTTTTTGTCATTTTGTATACAAAAGTTAATTAATTACCACATGAGCATGAGTGCGAACAGAACGTAGTTTAGTTGGTTGAGTTCCAGAACCTATATACCTACTACCTAGGTTCAAGTCCTCAATGTGATGTGGTGGGTGCTCGCATTTTTCTAATCTTTTTCTAAAATTTAAAGGTGTTGTTCTTTTAGTGGTAGTGACTTCATCGATCTCGAGACCTGCCAACTTTTGATCAATACCATTTATATCCTTTGTTATAACAGGTCGGCCAGCTTTTGAGCGGTGCATGCCACCTTTTCCATCCTTTGTTACGATAGAACTTTGATGTCTGAAAAAAATTCTCCTCCTCTTACATCCTTTGTTACAATAGAACTTCAGAATTACTACCTAACAACCGGTTGTTTTGGGAGCCTTCAACAACCGGCTTTTGCTCATCTGCTCTTTGCTCCGTCCGGCGCTGTCTCGGCGTGGGCGTGAATGTCCCCGGCGGGCCCAGACCGCTGCCACCGCCCCGACACAGGCGCGGGCGTCCCCAGCGGGCCCAGGCCGCCGCCGCCGCCCCGACGCGGACACGAGCGAATGTGGACGTCACCGGCAGGCGTCCCCGGCGCGGGCAGCATCTCCGTCGGCCCTGTCTGGGAAGGGAAGTGAAGGCGCGAGCAGCGTCGGAAGGGAAGCGCGGGCGGCGTCGGAGTCCGGCCTATCCGAGAAGGGAAGGGAGGAGGGAAGGGATAAGGTTGGGAGGGTGGGTCCCACCATTATTTGGAAGAAATTGTATTTTTCTGAAATTTGTAAATAATTTGTGAACAATGTGGCATATATTTCACTTATATCTGCAATTCATAGAAATAATTTGTAAATTATTCTAAAAAAATTTGGCATATATTGTGTTATCCATAAATTACATCGTTCTGTCCAATAAATTACACTAAAGAGATCATTGTAAATATAGTAATATGACAGTGTAAATATAGCTATAAGACAGTGTAAGTGCATAGAAAAATTCTGGTCATTGAAAGGGGCTAAAACAACCGATCGTTCCCTAGACAGATTCACAATGCTGAAAAAAGAACTCCTTTCCCGTCTGTTGTTTTTTTTATAATAAAACTTCAGTGCCTAAAAAAAAAAGTCTCCTCTGCCATCCTTTGTTATAGCTGAACTGCTGATTGTTGAGCCCAACCATTCTTTGTTATTATAACAGAACTTCGGTGCCTGAAAAAAAAACCCTCCTCTGCCATCCTTTGTTATGATTGTTGACCCAACTAGCTTGCCTTCAATGGTATGTCCCTCCCCTTAATCATTATCAAGAGATTATGTTACACTTACAAAAAAATTTGTTCTCAAACCAAATCTGAGTCTCAAACACATTCCTCAATACAAATAGACCTGGGCTGTGTCTAGTTGCCCAAACTTTGCACATCCAAAAAGCACTGTGCACTGTAGCGGTATTGTAGCATTTCGTTTGTATTCGGTAATAATTGTCCAACCGTTGACTAATTAGGCTTAAAACATTCGTCTCACAAAGTACAACTAAACTGTATAATTAGTTATTTTTTTACCTACATTTAATACTCCATGCATGTGTCTAAAGATTTGATATAATGTGATGTGATGGAGAATCTTGCACTGTGCAAACTTTAGAGGTGCAAAGTTGGTGAAACTAAACAAGGACCTGTATATGCTCTAAGAATTGATAGCCCAAGCAAGAACGAATGAATCTAGCCAAATCATAGCTAGCTGCCTAGCCCTCATGATGTGACACTTGTGACAATGGACTAGTAGGACCCGTTTTGTAGAGCCTCCACCTAACTATTATCTAATATAATTCTTCTTTCGTCGTAAAAAAAAGAAACTATCATAGTTTGTAGTGCAATTAATGGCTATAGAAACTATCATAGTTTCTAAGTCATTCAATAGTTTGTTGCATCTGCCCCTCTCGCGGTGACTTGCCCTAGCTCCGCCGCACGCCGCCGCCTCTGTCTTCCACCACCGCTGGTCTCCCTCCCTCCCTCCTCCGGCATATCGCCGGAGGCCAAAGGGAGTGGGGATCCATTATTTTTAATAAAAATTTTTTAGTAGATCGAGTCCTTAGGGTTAGGGTCTCTCCATGTCAACTTTTTTGGTTTTGGAGATTTATCTCCCCCTCCTCCTCTCCAGCGATGGCGAGAGCGCATGGTGGAATTGTTTTCTCCATGGTGGCTGTTGAAGATGAGGGTGACAACTATGGCGTCAGCATCTTCACCGGTGCTACGACATGGAGACTTTTCTTTCCGGACGGCGACGTCAAGACGAAGATGGTGTCGCCGCCGTGGAATAATTTTCTCCGGTCTTTTCTCTGTTTTATTGTGGTTAGATCTGGCCACGATGAAAGACTAGGGAGAATAAGTTTTAGATTAGTCTTTCTCATTTTTCGGTGACAGAAAGAAGAAGAAGGAAGACACCAGAAAAAAACAAGCTTTTCAACTCCGCCTACATAAATGTTAGCCGTCGTTCGTTGGATATATGTTCTTAGGCCTTTTGCCGAGTGTTTGTCTGTGTGGTCATCCATACTGTAAAGCGTTGTATATTTTTGATTTTGAAATCTGGAGCTATTCACAGCGTATGTACAATTTAGATGAAAATCAATTTATAGATATTTATGTCATCCAGAATGCTTGTAATGTGTTGATGTACTCTACTATTATCTAATATAATTCTTTTTTTTATCATAAAAAAAGAAACTATCATAGTGTCTGCATTGGAAATGCCCTATACACAGCGAGAGCGCTCAATCTGACTTTTGTGTCGTATCGACATCCTGCCGCCACATCTCCATCAGCGTCGCCAACGAAACAGGAGTACTAGTAATTAAACCTTGACTTCCCTTTCGCTTAACATCACCGTGATGAGACCTCAAAATTACATTAACCTGCCGAGCCGTGTTGTCTGGTGCAGATATAAAACCAAAACACACTCGCCTGATCGTGTCTCGTAGCATCGCCTCCGAAGTCACGACTCACGAACCGCTCCGTGCTCCGCCTGGTGACTGGACCCCAACACAACACTGAACGGGGGCTGTTAGGGCGTCCATAAGATAGAATAAAATATAGAAGCACAGGTATATAAAACATACGAGGACGAGAGAGACAAACACGGGGGAAAGTGTGCGAGTAGGACGGTTGGCTGATTGGTTTCGTCGCTGGTTCGTGAAGAAGTACTGTTGACTGGTTTATGTGAGAGAAAAATATTGTTCCGGTTAGAAATTTATGATCGTTTACGATAAGCCACAGCAAAACGAACAGGCTGGCCGCCGCATCAGCAGTCATCCAACCAGTCAGCCACCCTGGTTCTCTTAGGGTGTCTAGTACGTCGGGATAATATTGTATGGGATGTTTGATACTAATAAAAAACTAAATTATATAATTTGTTAGTGTTTCGTGAGACGAATTTATTAAGTCTAAGTAATCTATCATTAACATATATTTACTGTAGCACCACATTATCAAATCATGATCTAATTAGACTTAAAAAGATTCGTTTTACAAATTAGCTGTAAATTATGTAATTAATTTCGTAACTAATTTATATTTAATACTCCGTGTCTCAAACTTTCAGCGGGACAGCGGGGCAAACACCCCCTTAAACCCACCCCGGCACCGCGTACGCACGCACGACACGCCTCACCACCCCCAGCCAGCCGCCACCCTCCTCACTACCAATTCCAATTCCAAATCTGTCGACCGGCTCGAGGATGGCGGCGCAGGTGGTGGCAGCGGCGGGCACCGCGATGGCCAGGCCGCTGGGCGACGGATCTGGGGCCAACGCCGTGACCCGTGCCGGGGCGAGGATGCCAAGGGAGAGGTGGGGCGGCGCTGTGGCGGCGAGGGGACGCCGCGAGTCGCAGGTGGTATCCGTCATAAACCGCGCCCCGCGCCCCGAGGCCGAGGTGCTGCCGGTGTCGCCCGACGACGACTCGGCCGTAAAGGTAGCGTGACCATCCTCCTCGTACTGATTCATTGACTGCTGCCGCGAGCTGCTGGACACTGGCCTGGGAGCCCCCTGAACTATTAATGTTTGGGTCTACCTTAACCCCTGACCTACATAACTATGTATTCTACCCCCCTCATCTATCGAGAACTGCTTAATCTAACCCCTAGGTGGTTTCAATTGGGGTTTTTGTCTTGCTGCACAACTAGGGCCCACATGAAGAGCCACTGTGGCATGTGCCCACCTGTTAGCATTTCCTTCAACCTTCAGGCATCCCTTTCCTCATGCCCCTCTGCCCAACCGGTCACCGCACACCCTCATCGACGAACTCACCCGAGGAGTAAGTGTCATCTCGTGCCCGTACTGTGTGCCACCACCTACAGCATTGCAAGCCGCTCGTCACGGCTTGCCGCCACCACTGCCTCGGGTTGCTTGTGCCGTTCATTGCCGAGCTGCGCCTCCGCGAAGGATCAAGTGCCATTGGCCATTTGTGGGCATCGGTGCGATTACAGTACTGTCTTGGCCGTTTGACACATAGACCCCCATGGAATAGTGTAGTAATTATGGTTTTTATGTAGGTGTTTTTATGAATGACCCCTAAAACTCTTTGATGTATTCAATCCAGCCAAGCCTGATGGGGTGAGTGTGTTTGCGTTGTGACCGTCTACGTTGTACTGGGTAATTCTAAAAAAAAGCCTGGTCGTTTTACAAAGATAACCCTGTACTTTTAACCTTTCACGAGCACTATTTACCATAAAAACTATGGTAGTGATGACATGTGGGCCCTGATGTACCCGAGAGGCAAAACCACCTACAGGGAATGGTTTTGATGAGGTGAATACCTGGTTTTGTAGGTTAGGAGGGTGAAGTAGACCGACAACAATAGATCAGGGTGTTATATAGACCTTTTCCTTCTCTGTTATTCTATGTTTTAACTCTCTTTTTGCCGAGTGCCACATGATTTCACACTTGTCTCTGCAACCTGAATACACAAATAGTATTAATAATCAACAACAATAACAAAGCCTTTTAGTCCCAAGCAAGTTGGGGTAGGCTAGAGTTGAAACCCAACACAAATAGTATTAATAATCACTTTATCTAAAATAGTCCCAGTACTAAGTTTTACATGGTTGAACTTGTAAAATTATGTCAACAGTTTGAGTAAAGTTCCCTAGATTTGCTCATCATAATGATATCCTTCAGTTTACTCACACATCACATGGTGCTTCCCTAGAGCTTTTGGAAATTTAATAGCACATTTTCTTCATTAAATGTGTATGAATATTCTGACTCAGTGTTTGAAACATGCTTGGCTCCCTGTACACGAAAATTGTTAGGAGGGTGTACAGCGTTACTGTGAGTAGTCAGTACTGCACTAAGTTTAATGAGATGAAATTCACGAACATCAATTTTCTTCTTACTTTGTTGTGCATAACTGGTTACTCCTTCAATTATGTTGGTTGTCAGATATTTGTCTTAACGTCCTGTTCAGTCTTGAGTCTTGACTCTTGTCAAATGTATCTTTGGTGGTCAATGATTCTTCTTCATGTTGTTATCAATTTTTAGGAGGAATGATGTCATTCTTGGTCAAATAAAAAACTGAAGATTGTGTGAAATGTGAAGTTATTGACGGTGGTGAATTGAAATCTAGGCGCCATCTGAATGTTCGTGGAAAGAGTGCAACCTTGCCATCAATAACTGGTAATAGTCAGCTACTTTTTTCTCTGTCTACTGGTTCTAATCTATATGTCCTTGTTTCATACATGTTTCAAATGTACAGACAAGGACTGGGACGACATTAAGTTTGGTGTGGATAATCAGGTTGATTACTATGCTGTTTCTTTTGTGAAAGATGCTCAAGTTGTCCATGAACTCAAGGATTATCTAAGAAGTAATCTTCAATCCAACTTTGTAAAAAATCATATCATGCACCTTTTTGATAATTTATTGAGCTCATTCTATTCTATTCTCTTCTCAGGTTGCAATGCCGACATACATGTAATTGTAAAAATCGAAAGTGCAGACTCCATCCCAAACCTACATTCAATCATCACAGCATCTGATGGGGTAAAAAAATATCTTATCCTAATTATGCTTTGGTCTAGTGAAATGCCATCAAAAGGTTTATCTTTGCATGAATGGTCTTTGAGTTGTATGGGAAATCATGAATCATGAATACCCCTTTTAGTATCTGTTATCCTCATTCTGACTTAGTTTAAGGGCAGACCTAGATTTTGCCACTGGCAGTTATCGCTTGTTTGACATTTCAGGGGAACGGACTAATTTAATATTGAACACTATAGGCTATGGTTGCCAGGGGTGACCTTGGAGCTGAACTGCCCATCGAGGAGGTGCCGCTGTTGCAGGTATGATGTCGCTGATCATCATTTCTTATAAGCTATTGCACTGCAAAGCTAAAACGTACACATATATATGCCTGTTCTATTGGATTATTTTGAGTTACTTTATTGTTTGTACATAGGAATATGGCTTATATGTTGCAGTCCCATTTGAAATCTGCTGTGCCTAGCGCTTACTATGAGCCATCAGTAAAAAATATCTTTTTCTTTGCCGATAAAGGTGTCTGACATTTACATCTTCCTCAAATACCATTTTCCTTCATGCAGGAAGAAATTATTAGAATGTGCAGGAGCATGGGGAAGGCTGTTATTGTTGCTACAAATATGCTGGAAAGTATGATTGTTCATCCAACTCCAACCCGAGCAGAAGTTTCAGACATTGCTATAGCTGTCCGAGAGGGTGCTGATGCAGTCATGCTTTCTGGAGAAACTGCACATGGGAAGTATGTCACATGTTTTGCTTTTTGTTCAAAAGAAATTGATGTTTTAGTTGTTAGCTAAGGGTGGCTCCAACAATTGAGCTAGCAAGCCAGCTCATAACTTGCCACATCATTACAAGCTCTCCAATAATCCAACTCTTAACACCTTACCGCTGGTCCCACATCCTTTCTTTTCCCCATCCACACCTCAAGGTGCCCCCCACTCCCCCAGTAATGGCCTCGTACTTTGTCTGAGCCTAGCTGGGAACTAAATGGTAGCTCTTCTCTCTTCCACGTAAGCAAAATGATGAGGTGGATCTCTATGAGCTAGCTGAGATGTATGGCCAGATATGACATTACATTTTTATATATATTATTATCATATATATATATATATATATATATATATATATATATATATATATATATTTGTGTTCCATGGACAATTAGATTGTTTTAGTATGCTTTTGCACTGCTACATTATTGTTATTTGGTGACTGCATTCTTCAACAGTTCCAGATATATCATAAGTGGCAATATGAATTAATACATGAAAAATAATGTTATGGATGGAATTGCTGCCCCCTTATGTTTCCTTCTATGGAAAGGGCATTTACTGTTTAACTATATTTTCAGTGTATCAAATCAGGAATCTAACATCTATATGGCATCTATTTCTTTCAGTTTCCTTTGAAGTTTTATTGAACTAAATAACAATGGATTGCCTGGTTGGTCTCAATTATTCAAAGAATAACATACTTATAATAGCTGCTAGAACGACATTGTTGCATACATATAGGTTAATACTTTTTGTAGTTTTAGTTAAAAAAAGTCGCTGCCTTGTTTTGGATTGTATGCATATATTTGCAAGTCTTCTGGTGTGTTTCCCTCCCCCTGATATATGTTGAAGATCACGGCAGATATATGATGCTAAGCTTATGACTTGATTTTGTGACAGATTTCCCTTGAAAGCTGTTAAGGTCATGCACACTGTTGCCCTGAGAACTGAGGCAACTATTCCTGGTGGGGAAACACCTGCAGACCTTGGTCAGGCTTTCAAGGTTTGCCACCTTCACTTCTTCAGTCTTTTTCCATCATGCTGATCTTCCTTTTCCATTTTCTAACCACATCTCTTTCTGTAGAACCACATGAGCGAAATGTTCGCATACCATGCAACAATGATGTCAAATACCCTTCGAACATCAATAGTGGTTTTCACCAGGACAGGATTTATGGCTATACTGCTTAGTCACTACCGTCCATCTGGCACTATTTTTGCCTTCACAGATGAGTAAGTTTTCTGTTCCTTTTGTGCCATTGGGTGCTACAAGACAACTTTTATACAATCCTTTCTATATATCCCATGATCATGACTTATCAATAAAATCTCTCCTAAGTGCGTCTTTTATTTAATTGTGCTGAAGATGGCCCTGTTGGCGAGACTGTGTTAAATACTTAAACATAATATATGCGGTACTTAGCAATTCATTTCTGCTTCCTAGTAACCTAACATAATTTGTGAAATATGAGCCAATTAGGCTGCTTGTCCAACACAACTGTTTGTTAGTAACCTTTGGAACAACCATAGCATTTTAAAGTGTGAGGTATATATTGGTTAGTGTAATTTTAGTGATGAGACCATGCACCCAAAATCATATATGTGACTTCTGGTTCACGCATAAGATACAAATTCTAGAAACCAAAATACTGCACTGAAGATACTTCAGCACCTTTTGGGTTCTTTTAGTTATAGGCTCTAGAAAGTGAACTCTAGATTTTGGCTTTCGTGATTAATCAGTGAGTGGGCTGGAATGGAAGCCTGGAACTTACCTATGTTAAACCCCTCTACTGAATACTAAATTTGAACTGCAAAGACAGGCCAAAACGCTTCATCATGGAAGGAAACATTTGATGTCAGTGAACTTAGAGTTTACTATTAATCTTTTTTTAAAAAAAAAAACATAGTCAACCAAAAATCTTGACCTCAGGGTTAAGATCCCTGGTTCTGCCTTAAGAGTGGGGCTCAGGCTGGGCACTTTTACACCACAAACTGAACCGAAACGAATTGTTGGTCTATTCGGTTTTCTGTTGCGGGTTTGGTTTCTGGGTTTAACAAATTCGGTGCTCGGCTTCGGCTTCGGTTTTCTATGCAAGCCGAACTGAAAAACCGTATAGACCGAAGTGAATCACGTCTGCAGAGAAGCCAGAAACAGCACAGCGTCCCCAGCCACTTGACTCCTCAGGCGGACAGGAAACCATGGCCCAACACAGCAACGGCCGCGCCTCATCTCCCCAACCCCACCCCCAGCCCCACCCCACATCAACTCGACTCTGCACTCGGCATCGGCAGGACTCGCAGTCCGCAGTCGCACCACCATGCTAGCCCTAACCCGTCCAGGTGAGGCGGTGGCGGCCCGACGGTGGTGCCTGATGTGGCGGCGAGAGTGAGTAGGCAGCGGCCTGCTCGAGCACGGAGCATGGCGTGGCGGTGGCGCTTGAGCGTGGAGCAGGGCGCGACGGCGGCGGCCCGCTTCGGCGCAAGCGGCGTGGCGGCGGCGTGCGCGCGTGAAAAGGCGAAAGTAGCGGCGGCAGCGGCGCAGCGTGAGTGAGTGCCGCGCAGCGAGCTATGAGTAAGGTAGATGGCAGATTTGGTTTTTACGGTTTAAACCAAAAAAAAAAAAACAAAGTAACAAAACCGGCACCGAAGTTGTTGGTTTCCAGTTCTGTGGAAAACCGATCGGCTACTGTCTCTTGGGAAACCGAACTTTTTAGGAACCGAAAAACCCGAACCGAATTGTCGGTTAAAACCGAATGCCCAGGCTGATGTGGGGCTACTGAACCCTTTACATAATCTGTGGTCACCTAGGTTTGCAATGTTGCACTTGAAGTGTTTCATGCTCTTTTTGGGACGGGCGCGATGGGGAATGGGGTGCGTTGGGGAACGAGGGACAGGGGCGCGGTGTGGAGCGGAGGGCGAGGGACGGGTCCGTTCTATCTGTGGGTGTGGCGGGGTTCCGTTCTATTCCACACGGGGGGGGCTTTGGGAAGGGACGGCGTCCGGACACACTCTCGCGCCCGCACGTCCGGGCGCTAGAGTCATTGATAACGGATGGAAATGGATATATCAGAAGTGAAACATCATCCTCTCCAAAGTCGTGAAGCTGCCTAATTTTTCAGCACTATTGTCGTCGACGAGATGAGGAGGATCGGAGACAAGGTAGACGCGGAGGATTGGAGGTGGACCAAGGATGTGATGGGTGACAGCTTTGCCTATGGAAACCGTTGAAAGTCGTCTTGGCAGATCTGACTTGCGACGGCGAGTCCGGCTTCGTCGGAATCTTCAGCCGTCGACTGATGGTTATATGAGTCTCGCCCGGGCGTCTGAGCCTAAATCTTGGAGCGACCGGTCACCATCGGTCCCGGATCTGCTTGTGGCCAGCCAGCCCACCTAGTCCTAATTAAACGAGCACTAGTAGAGAACCGACTTTTGATCCACTTCGAAATTTGGCTTTAGTCCCGGTATTTTTCGCGCTCGGGACTAAAGGTCCCTGCCCAACGGCTACTGCGGCAGGCTTTTCCTGCAGGGGACCTTTAGTCCCGGTTGGAGCTACCAACCGGGACTAAAGGTTAACTGTTACTCCCGGCTGGAGGCTCCGTCCGGGGATAGAAATGGATCTTTAGTCCCGGTTGCTGTCTCCAACCGGGACTAAAGGTCCCCTCCTATATACCCCTTCTTCCTCCTTGAGTCCGAGCCACTTCGAGCTCAGTGTTCTTGTTTCATCGCCGGCCTCTTTTTTTTCTCATCGTCGGTAATCACAAGATTTCTTCGATTTCTCCATCGATTCTTCGGTTCTAAAGGTTATCAACTTTATACTCTCATGTTTCATCAGTAGCATATCTCATTTTGTGGACTAGATATATGTGGTTTTTTATGGTGGATTTTTTATTTGTAAGCCATTTAAGCTCAAAATCACTTTAAAGCTTGCATATTTGGATGAAGGGAGGTTAAAGTAGTTATTCAAAACTAGTATTCAGCTTTTATTTCTAGCATGCATAGCACACTTCATGGTTTAGAGATATAGAAAATTTTAGAGTTTTTTTTAATTTTATTTGTTTATAAAATGAGAAATTTATATTATATTAAAAATGAGTATAGAGAGTAGATGGCAACTGCTTCCGGGTCCTCGGTCTCTCATCGGGTTCCAAAGCGACTGAGGCCGGATCTCCCTCTCATTGCATGCGGCAAGTGTGAGAAGATTGTGATGGAGTACCGGGTGAGGAAGGAGTGTCCCAACAAGGGCCGTATCTTCTACAAGTGTCTGGATCGCAGACACTTGTCGTATTTGATGATTATGGTTAATTTATACTTATTTTCATGATGATTGTGATTAAAGTTTTAATTTTTTGTTTTAATTTCAGTGGGATGGCACTGGATGTTCAGGCTGGTACTGGGAGGAAGAGTATGTTGAACACGTGCAAAACTCTCTTGCACAGGCGGCTACGGCGACTGATGAGGCAGTGATCCTGCGGAAGAAGCCCATAGATGTTGAACAAACGCATGATCCGTCTGTTTTAGTTGGGATTGGTCGCGAAATCCTTATGCTGCTGAAGTGCATTTTAGCTTTAGTTTTTTCAGTGGTAGTTGAGATTGTCTACATTGTAGCGAGACTTTCATAAATTAATACCTTGTGTGGTGGCATGCATGTCGTATAATTAACTAATTATGTTCTAGGTTTTAATATGGTATGTATCTCATGTAATGCAGATGAGCCGGCATTGGATGTAAAATGCTGATCGCCGCTCTCAAGAGTTCATTGAGGGCGTCCATTCTTTCTTACGTGTGGCCGAGGCAAACAAACGCGATGGTTTCATGTGCTGGCCATGTGCCATATGTAAGAATTTAAAGGAATATGCTAGCTCAAGGAGTCTTCATTCACACTTGTTGAAGTCAGGTTTTATGCTAAACTATATTTGTTGGACGAAGCACGGAGAAACCGGGGTTGTAATGAAAGAAGGTGAAGAAGAATAATGGGACGATGATGACATTATTGCTGAATATGGTGCCTTCAATGATACTGCAATGGGGGAAGCTGAAGAAGAGGTAGGGGCAGAAGATGAGCCCGCTGATGATCTTGGTCAGGCCATTCGTGACGCACAAAGAGAATGCGAAAGTGAAAAGGAGAAGATCAAGTTTGAGCGCATGCTAGAGGATCACAAGAAATTGTTATACCCAACTTGTGATGCGGGACAGAAAAAGTTGTGTACCACACTGGAATTGCTGCAATGGAAGGCAAATAATGGTGTATCTGACAAGGGATTTGAGGAGTTACTGAAAATCCAAAAAAAGATGCTTTCAAAGGATAACGAATTGCCCGCCACTACGTACGAAGCAAAACAGGTAGTCTGCACTTTGGGATTAGAAATCCAGAAGATACATGCATGTCCTAATGACTGCATCCTCTACCGTGGCGAGGAGTACGAGAAGTTAGATGCATGCCTGGTATATCATGCATCGCGGTATAAGATCAGGCGAGATGATCCTGGTGATGTTGAGGGCGAACGTCCCACGAAGAAAATCCTTGCCAAGATTATGTGGTATGCTCCTATAATACCACGCTTGAAACGTCTGTTCAGAAACAAAGACCATGCAAAGTTGTTGCGATGGTGAAAGGTCCTAATGGCTAGAGGGGGGTGAATAGCCTATTAAAAATTTCTACAACACTTAGACAATTATGAAGCGAAGCAAGTGTTGCGCTAGCCTACTAAAAATGCAAGCCACCTATCACAATTCTATTTTATGTAGTTTCTATCCACATAATAGTTATGCCACTACACTAAGTTAGTGTGCTCTCAAAGGCTACCTAAAGAGCCACACTAACCAAACTAACAAGCTCTCACAACTAGCTACACTAAAGAGCTTGACAACTAGTTTGCGGTAATGTAAATAGAGAGAGCAATATGTTTATACCGCCGTGTCGAGGAAGGAGCCAATCAATCACAAGAATGAATATCAATGAAGACCAATCACCTCGGAATCAAATGATGAACACAATGATTTTTATCAAGGTTCACTTGCTTGCCGACAAGCTACTCCTCGTTGTGGCGATTCACTCACTTGGAGGTTCACGCGCTAATAGGCATCACACGCCAAACCCTCAATACGGTGCCGCACAACCAACACAAGAGGAGGATCACACAAGCCACGAGCAATCCACTAGAGTACCTTTTGGCTCTCCGCCGGGGAAAGGTCAAGAACCCCTCACAATCACCACGATCGGAGCCGGAGACAACCACC